TGGAGAAAAGAACTACCAGAGGGGGCAATTAGGTGCCCACAAGGCACCAGGGCGCGCCCTGGTGGGTAGTGGGGGCCCTAGCCCACCTTTGGTGCTCATCTTCTGGTATATAAGGTCTTTTGACCTAGAAAAAAAATAAAGAGAGGACTTTCCGGACGGAGCGCCGCCGTCTCGAGGTGGAACTTGGGTAGGAGCACTTTTGCCCTCCGGTGGAGCGATTCCGCCGGGGGAACTTCCCTCCAGAAGGGGGAAATCGAGGTCATCGTCATCACCAACAACCCTCTCATCTTTGGGAGGCCAATCTTCATCAACATCTTCAATAGCACCATCTCATCTCAAAACCCTAGTTCATCTCTTGTGTTCAATCTTTGTACCGGAACCTCAGATTGGTACCGGTGGGTGACTAGTAGTGTTGATTACATCTTGTAGTTGATGCTAGATGGTTTATTTGGTGGAAGATTATATGTTAAGATCCATTATGCTATTCAATATCCCTATGATCTTGAGCATGAATATTATTTGTGAGTAGTTGCCCTTGTTCTTGAGGCCACGGGAGAAGTCATGTTGCAAGTAATCATGTGAATTTAATATTCGTTCGATATTTTGATGATATGTATGTTGTGATTCCCTTAGTGGTGTTATGTGAACGTCGACAACATGACACTTCACCACCTTTGGGTCTAAGGGAATGCATTGTGGAGTAGTTATTACATGATTGGTTGTTAGAGTGACAGAAGTTTAAACCCTAGTTTAGGCGTTATATCGTAAGGGGCTGATTTGGATCCATATGCTTAATGCTATGGTTAGATTGTTATGTTAATTCTTCTTTCGTAGTTGCAGATGCTTACGAGGGGGTTAATAATAAGTGGGAGGCTTTTTCAAGTAAGAATATCACCCAAGCACCAGTCCACCCACATATCAAATTATCAAAGTAGTGAACGTGAGTCAAACCAACATGATGAAAGTGACTAGATGAAATTCCTGTGTTCCCTCAAGAACGCTTTGCTTAATATAAGAGATTGTTTTGGTCTGTTCTTTTCTACAAAAAGGATTGGGCTACCTTGCTGCATTTTATTTACTGTTACCGTTCTTTGCTCGTTACAAATTATTTTGCTATCAAACTACTTGTTACCGACAATATCAATGCTTGCAGAAATTACCTTGCTGAAAACCGCTTGTCATTTCCTTCTGCTACTCATTGTTTCGACACTCTTGCTTGTCAAAGTACTACGATTGATCCCCTATACTTGTGGGTCATAACTGTTGTGGCTAAAACACACGTCACCGCAGAGGCGCGGAATGCGGAGATCTACAAGGAGTCCCGCAGCTTTGAGAGGGATCATCAGAAGCGACGGAGGGCGTTCGAGCTGACCTTCACTAAAGGTGTAGCAGCGGCAGCGCCGTATTCCACTTCCCCAACCCGTTGGTAGGCTCCTCCTCCTCTTCCTCTTACTGAGCACGCTCGGCAGAGAAGAGGTTGCTGGAAGTAGTACAAAGCCCCTCCATATTAGTAGTATTTAGGGGCTATTTTGTTCAGCTCATTTGACTACAGATATGGCTGAACTGTACTATGTACTTAAAATTAGCTAGTATATATAGTTGAACTAGTTATTTCAGTACGTGGTTGGCAACTGTCAACCGTCGAGTTGAACTGTTTGTATAAAGGACGACTGCTGAATTTCGTTTACAAAAATAAGACATTAGTGCTGATTTCTAGCTGCCAAATTTGAAAAATGGCAGTGATTTTTTCAAGGATCACAAATGGCAGTGTTACAAGGTTGACAAATGGCAATGTTAGTAGATTCAAAAATGCTAATTTTTCCAATTTGACAAATGTCAATATACCCAATATGACATATGCAAATCTTAATTGTTTGTAGCTGGTTGCACACGGGTCATCATGCAAAATCGTTTGTGATGAAGAGATGCACAAAACATGGGCGCCACATTTTTCCTTGGCTTAGCGGTGAAGGAACCTAGCTCTCTCTTTGGATACGGGTATTCAATCTGAAATTTTTGCGATGAGTGTTTTATTCAGGGCAAAACGTTGATGTTTTTTATTATTATTTTATTTCATAAGTCTGTACATTTATATAAAAAATGCTAAGTTGATCAAAACCATATGTTTCATTCAATCACATTGTGATTTTACATCCATACGATCGAGATACATTATTAAACAAAAAACTAATTGCGGCGGCGGCGCAGGCGGCGTACTGCGTCGGTGTTGTCGTCCTCCGAGACGCCATTGTTCAAGTCTTCAAGCCAGCCCAAAATATTCTGGATTTGGCCATTCGTCGCACGATCGACGGGCGCGGGGCGGGGTGACGACGACTCGCGGCGCTGCGAGGTAGCGATCGACGGCTGCGTCCTATGACACCAAGGGGGCGAGACGGGTATATGTGACGCGCGCACGGGCACAGGCGCGGCGGGTGCAGGCAAGCGCACGGGGACCGGCGCCGCAGTGGATGTTGGGGTTCGCACGAGGATAGGTGGGGCCACTGGCACTGGCACGTACACGAGCTCGCGCAAGTCCGCGGGGACCTCGCTGACACATGCGGCTTCCAGTGTTGCGATGGTGCTCGGCAACCAGCCCGTCAATGCCATGGGGATGGTCGCTGGTGCCGGCGCGGGAATGGGAGCTGGGACGGGCGCAGGGGCAGCATCCGCCGTGGCCAACTCCTTCACGGCCATGTCCATGAGACCCCATTCCTCCTTATTTTCTACCTCGTCCGGCTCAGAGTCAACTTCACCAAACGAGAAGACTAGTGACATATGATCCTTGTGCGCCATAGCGCAGGTGGAGGTATGGGATATAGGATTCGGGCGAGAGAGGAATGGGAGGTGAAGAGTAAGGCCGCCTATATTAACCAGCGGCTTGGGCGCCATTAATGGAGAGATTGGGTGAAAAAATTATCCTAAAGCATGGCATGGACAATTCAAGGGACGTTCGAAGGATGCCGCCATCATTTTTGAGGTCGTTGCCGATCAAGAAACATGAATTTGGTATTCATATTTTGGGATGTCTGGATCTTGCACAACATCAATGTGCTTGACCAATCACCTTTTTTTTGCTAAGTTAGCCAATGAAGAAGCTCCACTGGTGACATTTAAAGCAAATGGCCGCATATACAACTATGGATACTACCTTGCGACGGAATCTATCCGAGGTGAAGTACTTTTGTCAAGCCAATCTAAACCCCTCAAGGTAAAAAGAACTCTTCTTTCACCATACTCAAGCGGCGGCTAGAAAAGATGCTGAGAGAGCATTTGGGGTTTTGCAATCCCGTTTTGTTACTGTGCGAGGACCGTCTAGATTCAGGGATAAAAGAAACCCTTTAGCACATCATGACTGCTTGCGTGATCATGCTATGCATGATCATTGAGAATGAGCATGGTTAAGATTTGGATTACACCTTATATGATCTCATAGGCATATGCGTTATGCCATGAGAAAAGAGGAGCGAGTCAGACATTTCGTGAACGTGTACAATGAAATTTGATATTCCGATACACACAATCAACTTCAGTAAAGACTTGATGCAGGAGTACTAGAAGTGGAATGGTGAAAGAACCGCCTAGTTCATTATTTGTTTGTTATATTATGCAAGAACTTTGTTGTACTGTTATTGTATTTGATGTTATGGGTTTGATGAATTGTGTAATAATTTGAAATTATGGACAAGTGAAATTTTTTAGTTTTAACTCTGAATGTTTTTATTTTAAATTGTGCGGCTGTACACAGACGCGCGGCCGTCGGCCGATTTTACATCTATAATTTGCATCATCAATTAAAGTTGCACTTTTACATTATCAATATACATCATCTGTTGAAGTTGCTTTTTTTAAGATGTAAAATGCACTTTTGATGATGTAAATTATATGACACCTAGTTTTACCGCTCCAACTTTGCATTATCCATTGAAGATGCTATAACTCATTACAGCAGTCACTAGCGATGCTCATCAGTTCGTCACATATCGTAGGAACCGACTCCCCTCTCGCTGAAGGGTGGCAATGAAACGGAAGACAGAGTCTTCTCCATCACGCCGCCTTCGCTCGCGGCACTCCAAGGCGTACCTCCATTGCCGTTGAGCTCCAGAGGACCTACTCCGCCCCCATTTACGTGCACCGCACACAGCATGCAGCTAGCAGGCAACGCCGTCGCCCGAACGGCCGAACGGCTTCCTCGGTGTCCAATCTACCATTCGGTTGGTGACCATGTCGTGCCGCCCACCGCTGTCTAGTGGCACCCATCACCAGCCACTGCTGCCTCCCTGCTCTGCACCCAAGGGGGGAATGGTGAGCCCGTGTGACACTGGTGGGAGCATGCCGGCCGGTGTTGACACCGCGCCATTGTCTTGACGCTGGTGGGCGCGCGAAATGGTTGTCGCATGGGCGTGGCTGATACGGCCCTGCCCTGTTACGCTACGCTACACAGGCATTAACTCCTATATATAGCAAGCAGCTAGGCTTAATTTGGCGTCTACACGTACGTCACTCTCACTCCGTATCGTATCGGCCGATAGCTTGGGTTCATACGCCGCCCATGCCATCCATATGCGTTCGTCCATACGGATCCATACCCCAATCTAGTAATTAATTCCTAGCTCACTCGCTACTCGATCACAGCTGCACTCTACAGGTATATATATAGCTCGAGGTGTAGCTTTGGGTACATATGTGCATATGTCCAGTACAAGCTCACACTTTAGAGAGGCGCGCCAACAGCTACCTCAAGAATCAAGATCTCTCGTCTCCGAGTCCGATCCGCCATGCCAGTCTCGCACCGCGACTTGCAGCTTGACGCCCAGCCCTCCGCCGCCCTACTAGACGGGGATGTCCCGAGACGGGTGTGGGTGCCGGGGCCGGTGATCGTCGGCGCGGGGCCGTCCGGGCTGGCGACGGCGGCCTGCCTCAAGGCTCGCGGGGTGCCGTCGCTGGTGCTGGAGCGGGACGCGTGCGTCGCGGCGTCATGGCGGCACCGCACCTACGAGCGGATGCGGCTTCACCTGCCGCGGGAATTCTGCGAGCTCCCCCATGCGCCTTTCCCGCCGGGCACGCCTCCGTATCCAACAAGGGACCAGTTCATCGCCTACCTAGACGGCTACGCGCGAGCCTTCGCCGTGGAACCCCTCCTCGGCGCGCGCGTCCGGGCTGCCGCCTACGACGCCGGCATCGGCTTCTGGAGGGTCACCGTCGAAGTCTCCTGCGCCGCCGCCGGCAAAGACTCTATGACAACGACGGCGACGGAGTTCATGTCGCGCTGGCTCGTAGTGGCCACCGGCGAGAACGCGGAGCCTGTGTGGCCTGACGGTGTGGAGGGAATGGACGTCTACCGCGGCACGGTGATGCACACGAGCACCTACAAGAGAGGGGACGAGTTCACGGGAAAGAAGGTGCTCGTTGTTGGCTGCGGCAACTCTGGCATGGAGGTCAGCCTCGACCTCTGCGACAATGGCGCAAAGGCATCCATGGTTGTCAGGGACAAGGTACAAGCTTTTATTTACTCGTACACATTTGCACTCAAAAACAATTGCTTACCTAGGGGGAGAAAAATAACACTCGTGCATTAGCTTGTACAGCCGAATTTAGATCGGTGAGAATCAAAATTGTACGACAACACAGTAATACAATTTGATGCATCTCAATTTTTCTTTTTGCGATCAAAAAATGAGAACCAGCAGTGACCGTGGCCAGCCAAGATGCGCCACTGCGAGCCAGCCACTGGGCTACTGCACAGTTCAAATTACATAGTACTCGATCCATTTCAAAATTATTGTTGTGGTTTTAGTTCAAATTTAAACCAAAACCATGACAATAATTTTTGAACGGAGAGGATAGCATCACCTAATACAAGTAACAACCAGAAATAATGCACTTGTGCGAGTGCAATTAGTCTCTCCACAATTTTAGGCTGCCACAGAGAATTCGTATTTCAGGCTGTCACTGTTTGTGCAATCAGTCTATTTCATATTGCCCACGTGTTCTCCTTTTTTCACAGTACTCAATAGATTCTTGCCACTTCCAGGAGTCTTTTTTTACATGACTTCCGGCAGGCGTTGACACAATAATACTATGCAAAACCAAAATCAACAGCGACAGCATAAAAATGACGTTGCATGCAGCAGAAAAAAAGTCGGGTTTTAGCAATCGTTGTTGTATCATCTTGATTCGCTGTTTGAGTCGATAAAATCCCTTTATGAAAATATATCATAAATGTCGAACATATATCATAAATCTCGAATGGCTGAGAAGAAAAAAAAATACTTGGAACATCGGACTTCTATAGAAAACGATGTGATACTTGTAGGCGAAAAAAAATCTGAAAAGGATCATTGCATGTTGTTGTTTTCTGTTTGGACAAGGATCGTGGAACACTGAGAATAACAGGGGAAATTTCAGTAATAGTGTGTTGTGCTATTCATAAGTGCAATATCAAAATCTATGTCAATTCACGATAAAATAATGTATGTCAAAAGAAAACATTGCAGAATTTAGTGAGAACATTCAACAGTTGCACCCATGTTAGGCAACGGAGATGTCAAGAAAACCCAAAGATAGTGGAACTACAAACTACTCGATTTATTTCATCTTTTAAGATAAAAGGATTTAACTATTTTATTACGATATTTATAGCATTTACCTATTAATTGCATTTCTTTACATCATGCAGGTTTATAGCTTAACTAAACTTGCATATCTCATGCTATTATTTTTGTAAATTTGTAGCTTCATGTGTTGCCTAGGGATATACTAGGCATCTCAACATTTGGCCTCTCAGTATTCCTTCTCAAGTGGTTGCCCATGAAATGGGTTGATGCCTTGTTCCTCTTCTTCTCGAGGTTGATACTTGGAGACACTGAAAAATACGGGCTCCAACGACCTAAGATTGGCCCGCTCCAAATCAAGAAATCAACCGGGAAAACACCAGTGCTTGACATTGGAGCTTTGAGAAAGATCGGGGATGGCGACATAAAGGTAAAATATCACATCATCCATAGTTGGATTTTTTTTTTTGCGAGAAAATGTTGATCTATTCATCTTCAATCATGGCAGTACAACGAACACCAGAAATAATAAAAATTACATCCAGATTCATAGACCACCTAAAATTGCTAGTACTAAAGCGAAAGAGCATTGCATCAATCTAACAGAAAACAATATCAGTAACTTAATTGAATATGTTTTAAAAAAAGAACATAAAGTACATTTTTCAATTAATGGGGTATTAGGATTGCAGCATCCAACTAATGAATAAGGCACGCCCATTTCCCAAAATTCAAATTTGACCATAAATTAGATGAAAAAAAATATAGATTTTCGTGATTTAAAAATTATACCACTAAAATTTCTTTCTAATATACTTCCTCCGTTCCTAAATATTTATCTTTTTAGAGATTTCAACAAGTGACTACATACAGAGCAAAATGAGTGAATCTACGTTTTAAAATATGTCTATATACATCCGTACGTTCTAAAATATGTCTAAAAAGACAAATATTTAGGAACGGAGGCACTAGTACGTGTGTGCCCAGTATAGTACTACTGCATTTACTTGATGATGTGTCCAAGTGAATCTAAGAGGGATTCTCCGCAGGTGGTCCCCGCAATAAACCGGTTCACCGAGAGCGGTGTTGAATTTGCCGACGGACGTAAGGAGGACTTCGATGCTGTCATCCTCGCCACCGGGTACAAAAGCAACGTGCCATCATGGCTCAAGGTACGTACATACGCGAACGTGCATGTACAGTCCTACTTATTAGCATCATGCATACTGTCGTGAGTCATCCATGCAACGATCAAGAGTATGGAGGAAAATACCGTCGCTTCTTTTCTTTTTTGAACCTCAGGAAAAGACGCTGATACAGAACATTAATTAGAGACTTCCGCCGATTGTGTCATGCATGAAAAATGACGCATGCATGCGCTATATGTACGTGCACTGCTCCCTAATCCCTTCTCCCCGTTTCATAAATCCTGTCGTAATTTAGTCTAAAGTTGACCTAAAACTACGACAAGAATTATGAAAACGGACGGAGTATGTCCTAAAATGCACGACCCAGGCGTACACTTAACACTAGTCGCCTTCAATTGTGGAATTTTTTATAACTAATCTAACGAGTGATTTAACTAATCATGATATATCATGTCTATGCATATTGATTGTAATAATATCTTATATTATGAGATTAAGGGAGTCGTGATTACATATTTGTAGAAATCCTTTTTTTTAGTTTTACGAGCGAAATAGTTGTAGAAGTCTAGCTGCACACTTTCTGGGAGGTTATCAATTTTGGAACGGAGGTGTGTGTATAGTCCTTGTCATTTCGATGGAGGTATTAGATTTAGATAGGAAGGCATGGGCAGTGACAATGATGCCAACAAGAGGGCGATCGGGACACAGAAACTCATCCAAAAATTGACAATATAAGATTGACAGACATGCGTGAACTATACTATGCTATGCACTCGTTCTATAGATTTTGCGTGCTAAAAATCAACGAGTTGTCAATTTGGGCAGCGTGTATACTTTACATATATAGAAGTCCTGTGTGGCTTGGTGTGTGTTTGTATCATTGTACGTATGTGATCGATGTGATAGCTACAAGCATGTACTTGATTTCCTTGCACCCTTTCTTGCGTAGTTGCATCGATCATGGCGTCTAGCGTAGACTTGGACACATATTTGTTAGCTACTATATGTCCATGTCATGTTAAATAATCTTTTCATCTTGCAAACTAGCTGTCCTAGCTAATGGTGGAGAACACGCATATAGGCGGCTCTTTGTTTGCATGTTCCTGTCAAGTCGATCTTGATCTCATGCGTGCGTGTATTTCTTTCTTTTCTAGTTGTATTCTTGCTGTTGTTGTTGCACAGTGAGCTGGTCCAGCAGTGGAGCCCATGCTCGGGCGTTTGGTCCATGCAACAAGGACAGATGCCATAGGAAAACATGAGTGAACAATATTATTGAAACTGAAAGGAATCTATATGAAACATGTGTATATCACGTTTCCTAATAACACTTAATATATAGTAAACCGATGCTATTTTGGTGTTGGGTTCTACTCGCACTGTCGCACATCAATCATTGAGGTATGATTCCATGCTAAAAAACATACTACAGAAACAGGAGTACAGGACAATGATCAAATGATTGGCAGTTAAGGAATCGTCTTAGCAACTGTAGATGTGTCTCCATGCAAAGGAGACCGCAGCCCTCACTGTTGGGAAAGGGAGGATAAAGTCTTGCCAAAAGGGACGGAGGTCTTGCTGGTTTTTTTCCTTCCTCCGTTTGAGTTAGGTTTTTCTTGTTGAGATCTTCCTTGGAGTTAGGTGTGATGCACATGCCGGCCCATAATGATGCGGTGAGGGCCATGCATCTTTGGTGATCATCATGTGCATGGCAACAGTGCTTGCAACCACACCCATTGCCCACTCTACCTTTTGTAGGGTGGCCCATCTGGACGACTTGCTTGATGCATCCCATCTGCCTCACCAGATTTAATGCTCAAGTGTATTCGGTATGTAGTTGATTTCACGTTGTAGAGTCTATGTTGAGTTCTTCTAATGAGCAATGTCATGTGTAATGGATGGTTTTCCACATTAGATTCTGCACAAGTCTTTTCATTGGCCCGCCATATTTCATGATGGGCTGCGGACACCTTTGATTGGCCCACCAGATTGGGTGAATAATAAATAGGAGATACATCAGCATACTATTTGTTTAGGAAAATGTTTGTTTTCAACCGGATGAAAACATTGTCGCGTAAACCGGGTCACCCGCACGACACGTGTCCCCTACACAAGCGAGTCCACCGCCTCCCCACCAGCCTTATCTTCTCCGCTCATCCTCTCCTCCACTCGTTCTCCCTCCTCGTTTCTTTTCCTCTTCCAATCTCCTTTTTTCCGTTCCAATCGAGAGGAAGGGTGAAGCCGACCACTGCAGTCGCCGGAGCTGCAACGCAGCACCAAGACCAGGCGAGGCACGGCTCGCCGCCTGTGCTTGCCACCGCTGTTGCAAGGCAGCACGAAGGCCAAAGGCTGGCGCCGCTCGTCGTCGGTGCTGCAACGCACACGCCGGAGGTGCTGCGTTGAAGCTTTTTTGTGGCACTGTCGGGCTACATTGGAGCACCGCCAGGCTGCTGAAGCCGCGACGGGGGACGGAACGGACTCCACCAAGGCTGCAATGAAGCTTCGTCGGAGCTGCATTGAAGCTTTCGGCGGAGTTGCAATGAAGCTTCGTCGGGGGCGTCGCGGCCGGTGTTGCCATGGAGCAGTCCCTGGTGGTTCCCGCAGCGGTTGCCGGCGGGATCTGGGAGTTGCGCTGCAGCGCTCGCCGGCGGCTCCGTCCACCCGCAGCACTGATAGTGTTGCAACGCAGCACGACGGTGGCGAGCCACCGGAGACGAGGGAGATTCCCTGGCGCGTCCCAGCGAGCACACATCAGAAGCCCTTGCAATCAGACGCCTCGCCACAGCAGTAGCGGTGTTGCAACACAGCACGGCAACGGCGGCCGCCGGAGTTGAGGGAGATGTTCTGGCTCCCGTCTCGGCGAGCGCACATGTAGGAGCAACAGCATGGCCTCCTTGCACAGTGGAGGGGACATTGCTGTCTTCAGAGAAGTCACGATCTGAACAGGATCAGAGGGAGAGAAGATGAGAGCTGAAAGGGATCAAAGGGAGAGAAGACGCAAGCGAGCTGCCTTGCTTAGATCGAATGGCAGATAGCGCCAGATCGGACGGCTAGCCAGCCGGATAATTTTTCTAGAAATCATCCGGCTGATTTGTAGCAGACGCCATTTGTTTATGCTAAATATAAATAGTCATGCACATGCATATTTCAGGAGGACGAATTTTTCAGCCAGAGTGATGGGTTCCCGAGGATGGCATTCCCGCACAGCTGGAGAGGCAAGAACGGCCTCTATGCCACGGGCTTCACAAGGAGGGGTCTCATGGGTTCCTCCTATGACGCCTCCAGAATCGCCGCTGACATCGCCAACCAGTGGACTGAGGCCCTCGCCAGGAATATCACTGCTCACAATAATGCTTGAAGCCTAGCCAAGGCCGATGCTCTTACGCTAGTTTCATTTTCGAGAAATGTGTGCGCGTTACCCGGAACGTGTGTATATATGTACCTCCAGCCGTCTAATGGGTTGATATAGAGTTACTACGTTATAGTACAAATATATGTATGGAATAATCAGTGAGATGCAAGGTGGCAGGTGCAGTCATGCGGTAGGAGTATTGTGCATTTGTGCTTTTCATGTGGATTGCATTTGTGATCTATCCTTTTCTTTTCTTTTTTTGAGCGGAATTTGTGCTATATCCTTGTAGTGGGAGTTTTGTCACGGCCTCGACTACCAAGTACCAGGCCACGGTACCAAATGACCACGCCTGCCCAATACACGATTGGACCTGGCCGAAAACGTGACTTGAACCCTCAGAATATGGGCGTACA